GCTATGTCAATGCAAATGGCCAAGAGAGTGAGCTAGAGCTGGCCAAATGGTATTTATAGACACCCCCAAACAATAGAGTCGTTGGCTCAATTATTGGGTTGACTGCGGGACGACCGGACGCGTAGGTCGTGTGCACTGGACACGTCCGGTGTGGTGACCGGACGCATCCGGTCGTAGCTAGACTGCCATGTGTCCCTTTCAAAGAAGTAGCCATTGCTACCATGAATTCCACGCTCAACTGCGACCAGACGCGTTCGATGTGGACGACTGGACGTAGGAGACTCAGCGTCCTATCGAGTCCAGAGAGCTCCTAGAGCCACTCTAGGCTGACTGGACGCATTTGGTCACACCGGACTGGACGCTCCCAGAGTCCGATCACTTATTTCGCTAAAAACCTGACTTGCTGGTTCGTCCGGTAAGGCGACCGGACATGTCCAGTCGTGACCTGACGCTAAACAGTGACTCGTCAGCGTCCGGTCACTCCACTGAGCTAGAGTCCAGTCACTTTCACTTAGTCGCTCACTTTGAGTCCAAATATCGGACGCATCCGGTGTGGAGACCGGATGCGTCCGGTCACTTCCGTCCGACTTCCCCGAGACTGGATGAAATACCGGACGCGTCCGGTCACTCTGTGACTAGCGCGACTAACTCCTTTTCAACTCTATCTTCTTTACCCTTGCTCAAATGTGCCAACCACCAAATGTAACACCTTGTGCACATGTGTTAGCATATTTTCACAAATGTTTTCAAGGGCGTTAGCACTCCACTAGATCCTAAATGCATATGCAATGAGTTAGAGCATCTAGTGGCACTTTGATAATCACATTTCGATACGAGTTTCACCCCTCTTAATAGTATGGCTATCAATTCTAAATGTGATCACACTCTCTAAGTGTCTCGACCACTAAACCGAAAAGCTCCTATCAATTTCACCTTTGCCTTTAGCTTTTTGTTTTTCTTTCTTCTTTTCGAAGTCCAAGTATTTTGATCATCACCATGCCATCATCATCATCATGTCATAATCTTCATTTGCTTCACCACTTAGAGTAGTGCTACCTATCTCATAATCACTTTGATAAACTAGGTTAGCACTTAGGGTTTCATCAATTCACCAAAACCAAACTAGAGCTTTCACACCCCTTGTCCGATGCACCGCCATGCTAGTGGCGGTGACCAGCTGGAGAATGCCGAGAGCAGTGTGTTGGGGCTGGCTCCGCCCTACCATGTTCGGTGGCACCGCCACCCCTAGGGCGGTGCCCATCTGACCTCGGTTCGGAGCAGGAGAGAAAGGGCGGTCACCACCCCGACTGGTGTGCACCACCGTGGGGATAGCGGTGGCACCACCAGGGGTTATCCGGTGGCATCGCCACTTTTTACCCGAGGCTGGCTGTTTCGGTGGTTGAGCGAGGGGGTCACCGCCATGGTGACGGCGGTGCACCACCCTAAAATTCTAGAGACTAGGGATCTCGAGGAGTTGGCCCGGGTGGTCACCGCCACCCCCATGGCAGTGCACCACCCCTAGCTGTTCGGTGACCAAGACCCCAACGGCTAAGTGAAGTAGCCATTGGAATTTGACCATTGGGGAGGGCACCACCGTGTCCAATGCTAGGCACCGCTGTGTCCAGTGCCCTCGTAAAAACCAACAGCTTTGCTCCAACGGCTATATTTAGCTTGGGGCTATAAATAGAGGTGGAGCTAGGGCTTGGGCTGGTTGCTGAGTACCCTTAAGCCTTGGTGGCTTGTGTAGGTGTGCTTGGGAGCCCTTTAACTCACTTGAGCTTGATAGTGATCATCCGATCGAGTGAGTGAGCGATTCTAGTGCGATTGCATCGTGATGTTGCATTGAGTGACACTAGGTGATCGTGTTGTAAGCCGGTGGTGCTTGTTACTCTTGGAGGTTGCCACCTCCTCCATGGCTTAGTGGCTTGCGACTCTATTGAAGCACGCGAGAAGATTGTGTGGTGCTCCGGAGGAGGATTTGTGAGGGGGATTATGCTCACCTCGCGGGGATCGCGAAGAGCAACTCTAGTTGAGCGTGTCATTGAGCTACCTCACTTGTGGGTAGGTTCTTGTAGTGTTCAATTGTGTGGATGAGGTTCGTGCAACACCTTTTAGCCGCCGAACCACCAAGTGTAGGTCGACACAACGGGGACGTAGCTTGATGGCAACCAAGTGAACCTCGGGAGAAAATCACTGTGTCAACATTGTCTTCATCGTCTTCTCGGTGGTTTGCATTCCACGCAACACAAGCTTGTATTTACTTTTCATACATTGAGCTTGTGTAGTTGCTCTTGTGACTAGTTTAGCTTTAGTAGCTTGCTAGTTGTCTTCTTGCTTGTGTAGCATAAAAGTAGCTCCTTTGGTGGCTAATTTAGTTTTAGTAACCTCGTTAGTCACATTGCTTAGTTTGTATAGCTAAGTAATTTGCGCTCTTTAATTTGACATTAGTTGCCTTGTTATTGAGCATTGCTAGTGAGCTTAGGAGCTTTGTGCTCTTGTTCACTAGTTGTGTAGGAGCTCCCCCGTGCTTGAAGTACTAGTGGCATAGGTTTGTGTGACCTTGCTCCTAGAATTGGTTAGGTGAGCTCTAGCTAGTCCGGCACCTTAGTTGCTTGTTTAGGATCTTTTCAAGGTGCTTGATAACTTAGATAGATGGGTGTAGTCTTGGCTAGACTGATAGTTTTAATTTCGTATTTGTTACAGTTAGCTGACGCGATTAATTTTAGAAATGACTATTCACCCTCCCTCTAATCTGCCATCTCAACCCTATAGTGGGCCTTCGCCGGTTAAGCGCGAGAAGTCCTAGCTAGAGATGGGCGTCCAGCGGGCCTGCCATTAAGGCCCAAGAAGCAAAGGCGGTGGAAACATAAGAGGTCTAGGATGTCCCTGCAGAATATGCTTGCATAAGAATATTCGTAAGGATATGCCTTAGCTGTCAAAGGATAAAAGTGTAAAGCAGTACCCTAGTGAATAGTGCCTTATAAAAAGGGGAGCCAAGCACCATGTAAAGGGATGTTGGTGAATACATTTATGAAACCCTAATTGTGCCTGGGTCCATTCGCGCTCCCACATTCGCCTGGAGCCTCCGTCGAAGATCCTACTCCACCGATCATGTCGGAATACCGCTTTTCTAACCGTTACCATTTGGCATTTGGAGTTTGAGTCCAACCTGCCAAATGTATGATTGAGACGAAAAAGATACTCCATCTATCCTCTAACATAGCACATTCTAAAATTTTTAAAATAACTTAAAATGAATAGTCAAATGACACATGTATTCATAGATTAAACCCATTTCAGGAGTTTCTCCTTAAATTATGGTTTTGTTTTTAACGATCTTTGCCAAATCTTAGTATGGGCATCACATAAAATGCATTACATTTTAGTACAAGTTTTAGAAGTCATAATGCACTATATTCTAGGATGGAGGGAATATGATGTTAAGAAAATTCGGTTACCCACTTACATGTTGATATCCATTGAGAATGTGAGAGTTGCGAGATGCACTGTTTAGGGCAAATTTGGTAGAATTTCTCATGTTCAATGGAACTTGATTTTTAAAGAAAAGTGATTATGTGATAAAAGTGATCATCTCTAATTCTCATGGAAAGTGAATCAAGAGAAACTAGTGTTGTTTAGTAATTTTAGAAGATCATTCCACGGAATAAAAATAGAATCATTTATCTAGAATAAGCCTAGCAGACATGCTCAACATGCGTTTAGATTTGCTTGTCTATAGCCTTCCCTTTGATGTTTGCATATGTTTTTCCCCATCATAGATGAAATACAAACATATCCAAGTTTGCAATTGTCAATGCAAAATTCCCCATTTGCAATTGTCATCCCTATATTATTCTCTTGTTCCGAGGCCTTCAAATCTCAGTTGCAGGTCCCCTTCTTTATGGAGATTATTATCTTACTTTGTTAGAGCATTTGGACAACAAGAAACAATCTCATCTTGTAGAATTTGACGCCAATAGTTGCACACTGCAAGGAAACTTTCATGGCTGAGTTTTGCCAGGATGATCCTGCGAGCAAACAAGAAACACTTCCTTCCGATAGAATCATGGCTAAATGCTTTTATGTGATTTTACTCCTTTGTTTTCTTTCTTGTCCGCTTAGTCTGATTTTGTAAAAGCCTCCTGTTTGCAATAAAAGGTCAGTAGGGGATCTCCCCTTGTGAGAAATGCTACTTGGGGAGTGGAATCTTACATTTGACTGAACTTATTTGCCACCTACAGCGTAACGGGTCCATAGCTCAGTGGTAGAGCAATTGACTGCAGATCAATAGGTCTCCGGTTCGAACCCGGATGGGCCCTCAATTCGTATGGAAATTTTTTGGTGTTCGAGTTTAGGCAGCTACAAAACATTTTCTTCTTCTTTATTCATTCTTTTTTCTCTCTCTCTCTACGAAATCCTCCTGACTTCGGGGTTTTAGGCAGCTAAAAATCCGTGAACCTGGGCACCTGGCTTTGCACGGCTGTTTCGCCAGCACCGCTGCACGGTCATGGAAGCCGCCGAAAGCGTAGCCACGTTCGGAGGCATGAGGATCAGCCGATCAGGTTCCCATCCCAGTCCCAGGAGTTTAGGCGGTCTGCGGCGGAAGCCACAGGCGTCACGCGCGCCTACGGGCCTGTGCGCGGTGCGCTCCCGAGCGTTCATGCTTGATGCTTCTCAATCGTCATTTCGGCACTAGGCAGTCAGCACATATGAGTTGTGTGTATTGATCCACATCCCATCTTATTCTTCCAGAGAGGATCAACTTTGCAGAAACCAAACAGCTTATACATCTCCTATGAACCTAACTAAACCCTTACACACCTACTGACCAACTTCAGTCTTGAGAGTACCAAAACCGGCGGGGACATGGCCGGCGTCCAACGAGGCCAACCTATACCACAAGTGCAGAACAGAAACGACTCTGAGAAATAACTGACATGGACCCAGAGGACCACACGGCATCGTCCCCAAGGACCAGGCCGCATACGCCCGGGGCACGGCTACGGCGCCGTCTTCTTGTTCATGAACCGGTGGTAGTAGACCTGGACGATGCGGCCGTTCATCGGCTGCGTCGGCCTGTTGTTGCGCCTGTAGGTTTGCTCCAGGGGCGCCATCAGGGCGGCGGCCTGATCCACCGTCATCTCCCTCACCTGGGCAAGGACGCTCCAGATGACGTTCTCGGTGCAGGGCGGCGTGGTGAAGGACCCGACGTAGCGGTAGTACGTGTGGGAGTACAGCCTCAGCGACCAGAGGCTCACGTTCCCGGCGGGAACTGGAGCGCCCTCCTCCGCTCTGCACCCCTCCGCGTACAGCGCAGCCAGCTTGTCCTGAATCTGTCGTCGTCGTTCACGACCAAAACAAACGCAGCAGAACTCAGTTAGGATGATCGATGATGCTGTCAGGATGATCGATGAACGAAGATGCTATGTTTGACGACGACGATGATGCATGCTAAATATTAATCATTAATTACCTGCCAAAGCAGAGGGTCCGGCCTGCTTCCAAATCGGTAGAGCATGGCCACCACGGTGACGTTGCCGTCGTCGCTGGCGTGAACCATGTGGAGCTCCACGGGGAACCTCTGCCCGTTGATGGTGTGCTCGGAGGGCGAGTGCCAGTGCATCTGCTTCAGCCTGTACACCTTCCCGTCGATGCGCACGCTCCCAGCAGCTCCGTCGTCGTCGAAGCGCAGCTGCATCCATCAACGAAATTTGAGACGATATCGACGGATCAGACATTTTCTTTCCTGTTCTAAACTAGTATTATACCAGTAGCAGTTTCTGTTTGAAAACAAAACATTTGCCTCAAAAACAAAAAAAACAAACCGCGATGTTGAAGACGTTATCGACAAGGGTAGCGTTGGCGACGGTGTAGTCCCTGTGGAGTGGCTGCAGCCCCGGGTTGAGAGCCGCTTCGGCCGTGGAGATGTCGATCGGGGACTGGTGCGTCCCTCTCGCGCACTGCGTGAAGTTGGGGCTCAAGCTGCCCCAGTGGGCAGGACCGATAGAGCCGATGTACCCGAACTTGGCGCCACCGCCATCTGAATGAGATGGCAGAGAAATTAATGAAGCAAACAAGGGTAGCCGTCTCGACTCTGATCGAAGGCAACTAAACGAACCGGCAGGCAGTTTAAACTTGAGAGAATAATAATGTACTAGGATGAAATCACGTACTAGGGTCACAGGCAAGGCCGGTGGCGACGCAGCAAGCACACAGCAGCAGCAGGAGAAAGAAGGCTGCATTTGTGGTACAAGTCCTCATCTGAATGAAGAAAACTCTGAAGCCGCCTGAAAGAAATGGAGATGCAGTCACACAAAACAAAAAGAACAGCCTGAAGCGAAGCCCCCCCAGTGGAATATTTTTTTGAAAGTAATATCAGGAGTTCTTTCAATTAAGAAGAATAGAATTTGCCTAGTTTATAGAGAAAAACAGCCTCCAAGCGGAATGCACGAACATATATGGAGGAGACAGACAGATGGATAGATGGATGGTGTCGTTCATGGCATCGCGGACTAGTGACGGTCACGTTTCATCATCGTCATCATACCTTTAAGTTGCTGCGCGCAGAGGCTTGGCACTCGATTCCTGCAAAAAGAGAACACGCAGAAGCTGGTTGATTCCCCGTATCTATCAGAAGTGGATCGGATCGTAAAGGAGGCAATCCAATCATGCAAAGCGCTCGGAGTGACCTGACCTCAAGATGTGCTGCGTGCTCACGGCCACACCACACCACCCTTTTGGAAAGAAAGATGGGTGAGCCTGGAGGATGGATGGATGGGGGTGGCCCGGGATCTTCAGTGATCCAAGCGGGAACGGTGATGGTGAATGTGTTAACTTGCGCTTGGACTCCCTCCACGAACGAGCATGGATATATAATCATAGGCGAGCTGCAGGTCGATCGCGCACTTGAGGATCGATGCCGCCCATCTTCTTGCAACCGCTCCTTTGTTTTTTGTTCTGAGAGAGAATGCTTCTGGTAATGGTTTTCGTGCGACGATTTTTGCGCGCAGAATGTGCGAGGACACAACACCGCCCGGGCTAGTGCTTGTCGTGGAGGCAGCGCATGGATCGGAGCACGTGCGTCCGTCTTACCCACGTACGTTTGCTTGGTAGTACAGTGCACATCTCGCGCGCGCGTTAATTAAGCCATTAACCCTCACGCGTGATTTAAAAAAAAAACCTCACGCGTGCGTGCGTGCATCACGATTAGCTAGGAGAGCAGCCAAAATTGCTCCGTTGGACTGTTGCTAGATGTGTAAGAGCATCTCCAAGAGTGCCCTATATTTTTCTTTCAAAAACTACATATTTGCCAACTCCTTAAGAAGAAGGCCATTTTCAAGAGTACCCCATATTTAACTTTCAAAAAAATCAAATTTTGGTTCCACAATGATTTTTTTTTTTGCAGCTTCTTTTTTTCTCATGTGACCTCTTCCGCCGCACCGCGAAACCCTTTGCGCCGCTGCCGATTTGCACGTATAGTGCCAGCCTTTGGCTTGAGATTGGCCGTAGATGTGTTTATGCCTTGATGATCAATTGTGAACTACGGTGTGTGAACTAGGGTAGCTAGCTAGCTAGCTACGGCCAAGCCGGCAGCGGTGGCGGCGGTGGCCATCGAGACAGAGAGCGGCATGAGCCAGGCAAAGCAACAAGCCAAACAAATCCGGTGCGTACGTACACAGCGCTGCTGGCCGAATGGGCGCGCGCGATCGAGTGCATGCATGCCATGAATGCGGCGGCCACCCGTTAGCTAGCTAGGCGCCGGCACAACTTCTCCATTGCTCACAACTCACTCGCAGCTAGAGCTAGCGCGCGGCCGACCGCCAATGGGTGGTGGATCAGATCATCCGGCCAGGTCACGCAGGAGGTGAAACCCGGCGCCCTGCAGGCCCCGGTAGTGCTCCTGCCCGTGCGCTGCCTCGCCGTCGATGCTGGCGCCGCCGAACTGGACGTGCTGTTGTTGCCCCGGGTGCACACCGCCGGCCATCTGATGGTCGGCCGTCGTCGGAGGAGCGAACAGGGTACCCGCCCACGGCGCGGCAGTGGTGGTGGTGCGCGGGCGTCGGCGGAGCGCCGAACGCGATGTTGACGCTGCCGCCGTCGTGGGAGTCGTGCTGCTGCAGGCCCAGCGTGAGGGACACGCCTCCACCGAAGCCCCCGCCGGCGTGGTGGCCGCCGCCGCCGTACGCGTCAAAGTCGAGGTGGTCCATGATGCCGAAGTTCTCGAGCGGCCGCGCGGCGGCACCAGCGCGCGATCCGCCGCCGCCGCCGCCGATGCTGATGACCGAGGCGAGTGAGCCCGCGTCTACGGAACCTGGGCCATGGCGCGAAGGAGACGACGCGCGATTCATCTCCGCGTATTTTTACGCACGGAGGAGGCCGGTTTGCCAAGTACGGAAAGATGAGAAGAGATATGGAGAACTCTTGGAGATGAGTTTTTTTTTTTTTTCCAAAAGCATGGATAGGGAAGGAATATGGGAGATGCTCTTACGCCACGTCCTCCGCAACGCAAGTCGCAAGGCTGGGCTTGGGCTGCCGGCTACGCGCGCTAGGATGCACCGAGAAAAAAGTGTTAAAACTGTAGGATCATAGATCTAGCCTTTGACTGTTCTATTCATTATAACATGTAAAACGGTAGATCCTAGGACATGTAGAACGGTCTACAGAGAGACAGGGAGAGAAAGGGAAGGGTACCGAACCTGAGACCGCAGGGGTGGAGGATCCAGTAGCCTCCATCAGGTTCGTCAATGTAGGCTGCGCACGGGCAGCGACGGTCGGTGAAGAGAGGCGACGCAGTGGGGACGGTGAAGCAGTGCAGTGGCGACGGGATGACGGTGATGACGGTGGCGGCTTCCCGTCGCTGGCTGCGCGCCCTCTTCGAGATCGAAATTAGGGTTTGTCGGTGGGAGTACGGCTCACCGTGAACCTCGTACCTCGAGCCGCCGGCCCCCACCTCTTTATATAGCGCAATGCGACGGGGCCCATCAACCATGTAGGGTTGGGCGCCCCCGATCAGGACGCGTGACCAAGGCCCAACAGGCTGTTGGGCTTATTGGTTGGGAGATCACTCTAACATTCTCCCCCTTGATCTCACTATTACTTTTATCTTTAAACTTTAAACTTCAATCCTTTTATCCTTACTCATTTCTTCACAGATGATGCATAGAGCATGTCTCATCGTCACGGTCAATCGCCGATAGATTTAACAGCTACAATGCACGTCTCTGATCTGAAATAGTTACTTTAACTTTTGGGCCCTTTATAGTCCAGGAATCATAGGCTTTCCCTTAAACCCATGCCGGCTACATGTTCTCTGAACACGTTGGGTGGTAAGCCTTTTATAAGCGGATCCGTGAGCATCTTTTCGGTACTTATATGCTCAAGACTTATCATTTGATCCCGAACTTTATCCTTCACAACATAATACTTTATGTCAATGTGTTTGACAGCATCACTTGACCTATTGTTGTGAGCATACTGTACTGCTGGATTATTATCGCAGTATAACTTCAGTGGTCTATTGATGTCGTCAACCACCTTCAAACCGGGTATGAACTTCTTAAGCCAGTTCACCTGCCCCGTTGCCTCATAACATGCTACAAACTCGGCATACATTGTGGACGATGTAGTGACGGTTTGCTTTGAGCTTTTCCATGAAATAGCTCCCCCTGCGAGAGTAAACACATATCCAGACGTGGATTTTCTATTATCTCCCGCATAATCGTAATCAATATCCCACTATATGGAGTGAATCGGATCTTCTATACGTCATCATGAGGCCTTTCGTTCCTTGCAAATAACGCAAGACTTTCTTTACCAATTTCTAGTGTTCTATTCTGGATTGCTCGGAATCGCCAAGTAACCCCAGTAACAAATGCCAAGTCGTAGCGCGTACACTTGAGCATATTGCAAGCTTCCGACAATTTGAAGCATATGGAACCACTTTCATTTGATCAATCTCATATTGGTTCCTGGGGCATTGAAAATCCCCATATCTGTCGCCCTTGACTATAGGAGCAGGTGAGGGACTACATTTGTGCATACTGAATTTCTTTAAGACTTTTTCTATGTATGCCTTTTGTGACAGTCCTAATACCCCTTTACTTCTATCTCGGTGAATCTTGATCCCTAGAACGAACGAAGCTTCACCAAGATCTTTCATATCAAATTTTGAGGACAAAAACTTCTTTGTTTCCAGTAGTAGACTGACATCACTACTAGCAAGTAAGATATCATCCACATACAGGACAAGGAAGATAAACTTCCCATTCTTAAACTTTGTGTAGACACAATTGTCCTCAACATTATCTTTAAACCCAAAATTCTTTATTGTCTGATCAAACTTCAAGTACCACTGTCTTGAAGCTTGTTTTAATCCATAAATGGATTTCTTTAGGCAGCATCCTAAACGTTCTTTTCCTTCCATGACAAAACCTTTCGGTTGTGCCATGTAAATATTTTCTTCTAAGTCTCCGTTGAGAAATGTCGTCTTTACATCCATCTGATGTAATTCTAAATCGTAATGTGCCACTAATGCCATTATGATTCTGAAGGAATCCTTACATGAGACTGGAGAAAAGGTCTCATTGTAATCAATCCATTCTCTTTGTGTAAAGCCTTTTGCCACAAGTCGGGCTTTATATCTCTCTATATTACCTTGAGAGTCAAGTTTTGTTTTGTAGACCCATTTACAGCCTACTGTTTTGGCTCCTTTAGGAATGATCTCCAAATCCCAAACTTTATTTGCATTCATTGATCTCATCTCATCTTTCATGGCCTCAAGCCACTTTGATGAATGATCACTTTTCATGGCTTCTTCAAATGAGGTGGGATCATCCTCCATTTGAAATTCTTCAGTGTTGTACACTTCATAATCAGCAGGAATAGCTGATTTTCTAACTCTTTGAGACCTTCTAGGGGCCTCCTCATTTGGCACATTTTCTGTTTGAGGCTGTTGTTGCTCCCCCTCATGTGTGGCAATAGTTTCTATAGGATCCTGAGGAACAGATTCCTCATCATCATTCATTGTTGCCACAGGCGGGATAACAACAGGTGCTGGCACCACAGTGTCTTGTACTGTCGGTGCAGCAACAACAGGTAGTGAGAAAAATGGCTCATGAATTATTGGAGTGGGTGCATACACCCGCTTCTCTTCAAGGTCAATTTCTCGAGCTACCATGCTCCCCCCTAATCATTTCATCCTCTAGGAAGACAGCGTGTCTCGTTTCCACAAACTTTGTATGTCTGTTAGGACAGTAGAAACGAAAACCTTTTGACTTTTCTGGGTAGCCAATGAAATGGCAACTCACTGTTTTAGGATCTAGTTTCCCAATGTTTGGGTTAAAAACTTTAGCCTCAGCAGGGCTCCCCCACACATGCAAGTGGTTAAGTGAGGGTACTCTTCCTGTCCACAACTCATACGGTGTTTTGGGCACCGACTTACTTGGTACTCTATTGAGAATATGAATGACGGTTTTTAACGCCTCCATCCACAGACTCGTCGGTAAAGTGGAGTAACTTATCATACTACGCACCATATCCATCAGGGTACGGTTACGCCTTTCAGCTACTCCATTCTACTGAGGTTCGCCCGGTGTTGAATACTGGGCGACTATACCATTCTCCTGTAAGAACCTTGCAAAAGGTCCAGGAACTTGTCCATATGGGGTATGTCGACCGTAGTACTCTCCCCCACGGTCAGACCTGACTATCTTAATCTTTAAATCATGCTGATTTTCAACTTCTGCTTTAAATATTTTAAATTTATCCAACGCTTCTGTTCTTTCTTTAATTGGATAAATGTAGCCAAATCGAGAGTAATCATCTGTGAATGTTATGAATGAATCATAACCATCCACACTTTTCACAGGAAAAGGACCACATATATCTGTGTGAATAATCTGTAGAATTCCCGCGCTTCGTTTGACATCTTTTTTAATTTTCTTTATATACTTTTCTTTTATGCAATCTCTACATTGTTCTAAATCTGAGAGCTCTAATGGAGGAAGAATATCATTCTTAACTAGTCTTTCTATTCTCCCCCTCGAAATATGGCCTAAACGACAGTGCTATAATTTCGACAACGCATCGTGAGCTCTCTTTCGTTTTCTGTTTGCATTGTTCGATGAGGATACATTCTCATTCACATCACATACGGAATTCACATTTTCACGAAGTGATAACAAATAAAGCTCGTCTTGTCGGAAGGCAAGACCAACACATTTATTATTAAACAATATCTGATATTTGCCATTTCCAAAATGGCAATCATAACCATCATGGTCCAACTTTGATACACTAATCAAGTTTCTTTGCAAAGAAGGTACATAAAGAACATCTCTAAGAAAAAGTATGAAGCCATCAGCAAGCTCTAGCGGAAGATCGCCAACGGCCTCAACATCTGCTTGTACTCCATTTGCGACTTTAATGAAACTTTCGCTTCTTTGCAAAGTTCTCATCGAACGGAATCCCTGTAATGAATTAGCAACATGAATAGTTGCACCAGAATCAATCCACCAAGTAGATTTTGAAAACTTTACATACAAGGATTCATTTACAAATGTAATGATGTTCTCACCTTTATTTTTCATAATCATCTTTAAGAAATCAGGACAATTCTTTTTATAATGTCCCGTCTTCTTACAGTAGAGACACTGGTCTTTATCCACTGGGAATTGCTTGTTCTGAGACTGTTGCATGGGACCTTTTTCAGATGACTTGGAGGAAGAGCTGTTATTATAGTTCTTTTTCTTATCTTTTAGGTAGTTGACAGTACCACCCTGTGAAACTTTTATCCTTTCCTCCTCCTGCACACACATGGCTATGAGCTTTTCTAAATCTCATTTTTCAGGCTGTATGTTGTAATTAACAACAAAGGTGTCAAATTCTTTGGGCAAGGAAGCAAAAATCAAATGAATAAGAAACTCATCCTTGAGTGTCAAATCCATTGGTTTGAGCTTAGATGCCAGATTGCTCATTCTCAGTATGTGCTCTCTAATGCCACTGCCGCCACCAGAGTACCTTTCTGTAACCAGCTGCTTGATCAGCTGGGTTGCATATGTCTTTGAAGAGCCAATAAACTAACTCTTTAATCTTTCTAGGTACTCTATGACCGTGTCACAGTCTGGAATTGAGCCCACTATTACAGGCTCAATTGTGTTCTTTATCACTATCAAACACTTCTTGTTGGCAGTAACCCATTTCCTATGCT